CGCATTGATGCAATGTCACGAGCGGCATGATTTCGGTTTGAAAATCGTCCCGTGCTGCTCCATGGCTGATTGATGGCTGGATGTGAAAAACTCCAATGGTAGCATATGGGAGGTCTGCCCTCGTCACATGGCGGCTGTCGAATTCGAGGAGTGAATCAGTGGATGACTTTGGAAACACGCCACGAAATTCATCATTGCGCCCATGTCCTTGGACAAGTGTGCGTGGCGGCAACCTCGGTCCAATGTATTTCTTGGATTCCCTGAACATGGATGTTCAAGTGGTTGCCAGGCAGTCATAGATCGGGATGTCGTATTCGGCATCAGTGCAATGGTTCTCGGTTCCGAAGAAGCATCTGAACATACTGAATATAGTTCCCCAGTTTTGACTCTTTGTGGAAATGTGTCGTGCCAATAGTTCCACTCTTGCGGAAGGTCCGCCGCGGACAAAGCATGCGATTGGTTTGGATGACCATTGCTTGATAACTATGCCCTTGTATCCAAACCGGATGAACGTCTTGATGAGGTCCTTGGATTTCTCATCTTGAGGACTGAGGAATGCGTCTGCTTCATTTAGGCATATGATGCGCGCGCTGTTCTGCATCATCATCCTCGTGATTCGTCGATCCTTCATCGCCATGTTATTCACCTCCTTGTTGCCCAGCTTTGGATTCCTCGTAAGGTTTCCGTGGTTCATGGTGGGCATGTTGATCGTCATGGATGAGGTGAACTCATGTGCCTTGAGATGGTCCACAGGAGTACGGTCAGTTGGTTGCATCAGCGATCCCAGGATGTCAGCAAATGCCTGGATGACCTCTGGTTTGTCATATTTCTTCATCCAAATGGAAGCTTGATCGGACATCCTGATGCTGGCTGTGCCTTCCTGAACTCTTCCATGGATGGCCATTCTCCTCAGTGGTGGAAATAGAATTCTTCTTCCTCGAGGTTGACATCTGGATCGACATGTGCCAATGAAGCTCGCTTGCATTCTGTCAATTCGGGATGAGCTCTCTGTGGATCCCTGTCGTACTTCTCCATGAAGCGGGTGAAGTTCCTTTTGGTCTCCTTGAGCTCTTCCTCGGCGTCCTTCTTGGTCATGTCCATTTCAAGGTACGTCACCTTGAATTCCTTGGTGAACTCTTATAGGTTCTCGGGATTGTGATACTCCATGGTGACCTTCGGCTTGACGGATCTCTCCCCGGAGGGTTCCATGTTCTCCTCATCATTTTCGTCCTGATCGGTGGAGCGTCGCTTCTTGGTCTCTGTGGATGTATCTTTTTCTGATTTTTCCTTGCTTTGTTGGTCGGTATTCACATAGTTGAAGAAGGCATCGGCGAATTCATGGATCTTGGTGTCGTACATCTCAACGTCTTCACGAGTGAGAGACTTCTTCATGATCCAGTTGTTGCTCATCATGATGTTCCCATCAGGATCAAACGCTGCAACAATATTCTTCGCCTCGATGGTTTGTCCTGTCAACACTGTTCGCTCTTCGGAGAGTCGGATACCTCCTGGTCCTTGAGGAATGCAAGGATCAACAACGCATCTCTTCCTGTTGGCACATGTGTCAATGCTGCTTCTGGCACGTCGTCGTCGAGGATAACGTCGTCGATGCATGCCATGTGGATGTGCACTCTCCCCGAAAAGTTTGACTGGGATTTCCCAGATTTGAGCCCGTTCTCCATGATGCTGATCAGCTGATCTCCATATGTTGCATGGAACATGAACGTGATGGGTTTCTTCGCGCCCGGCTTGATCTTTCTCTCTTCTTCAATGGATGGTGGCGCCGGCCTTCGCATTCTGGATTTTGCCTGGGCTGCGCCTTCATCTTCATGGGGCGCGTCGGATCTTGAAGGATGCGGACTTGGAGGAATAGATTCTGTTGGAAGATCGTAGTCCGGTTCTTCTTGACAAGGTTCACGCTTCTGTCCAGGCCAAAGGGGGCGTCCAAAGTATTGGAGATCGACTTGTCGAGTATGACCGCTGTTGCATCTCACGTAGAATTCCATCTCTGGATCATTGAGGCATCCTCTGCCATCAGGCCTGAGTGCATCATATGCGGATTTGGATGTGAGGTTGTCGATCCATCGATTCCTTGGAACAATGCATCCCTTGTCCTTGCGTTCCTTGTATGACCCGTCCACGGCTGGATACACAAAAGCAATCTCGACTCGACTTCTTGCGTAGTTGTCACTGCCTCTGCAGTGAGCAATGTTGTTGCTCCATCCAGGATGACAAAAACAATGATGTGTTCTCCTGTTCCAAGAGGAACTTGACAGTGATCAATGAACGTCATGTCACCAAAGGTGTCCGCTCGAAGTCCACTCGTCTTGCTTCGTGACGGTGCATGTTTTGCCGCTTGGCAAACTTCACATTCACTTCGGATTTTGTCAAATAGATCGAATGTTGATTTCGGCAAATGAAGTGAGCGAGTTCTAAATCGAAATTGATCTGTTGTCATGTGGTGATGCTGGAGGTGGAGCTTCTTCAACTCTTCGGGATTTGACAATCGCTTGTGGACTCTTCCTAATGCAAGCGGAAGTGTTGATGGTTCTTCTGAGGATGGTGCGAACGGATCTGGCTCAATGGTCGACCGGCCCTTCTTGTCGATGATCCTGTCTGCTGCCGATCCTGAGCCTGCTTCTTCGTCCTTAAGCGAATTGTCCGCGAAGGTGAAAATGGTCTTACCTATCCACAGGTTAATCATTGGTTTGTTTGCCTGGGATGTAAGTCTCCAATTGTCTTCTAGGATGTCCGGATCTCCACCTTCGGATGCATCAATGATTTCCGTAGTACGCTCTCGGCTGGACTTTCCTTGGCTCCATTTGGTGTGAACAGTGCCTTTCGAGGCGTGATGCGCACACGGATGAGCTGCTTTTTCTTCTTGTCAAGGATCCAATGGTCCTGCTTCTGAGACCCAATGATTTTAGGAGTTGCTAGGTCCTCCTTTGTCTCGGATGATTTTGCTGCACAAACAGTTTCACTCTTGGAGATATCCTCGGAGGGAAACTTGATGCTGTTGTCATCATCGTAGACGTAGTTGGTGAGGCCCTTATGAGCAATTTCTCCATGTGCCTTCACTCTTGCAACTCCAGCGAGATCGACGAGTGCATGTCCTGTACCGGATACCGGAACTGCTTGCCGGTTCATGCCAAAAGCCTTGCATGTGATTTTGTCACATTGAGGTGTGTGCTCGATGGTCATGTAGAGGTTCCGCATCTGACTGATGCTGAGGAGGATCGGTACAGTTCCTTGTTCAAGGATGTCGATGTTGGAGGAGTTGTGTGATATCGAAGATGCAGGGTCCAATTTACCCTGGCGGTCTCTCCATTTGCAAAAGTGAACTTGGTCTCGGCCGGGATGTACTGACAGGAGATGATGTCCTTCATTGGTTCGATTGCCTGAGTAAAACGCTGGATTGCATGCCAGCTGCCCATGGATCTGGTACATCCGTTGTCCAGGATCGCATAGGTTGGATTGTGCTGAGGGTTGATGACAGGCGCCATCAGCAAAAGGCTGTGATTTGTTGCGACGGACAAACTGTGTTCTGAAACTGCATCTGATTGGATCAGCTTCCCGTGGATGGCTTCTGTCTCATGATGCTCATATGCGTCATGGAATGCCATTAGCGCTTGTCCTGCGCTGAGTACCCGCCTTGTTCGTTCCATGTCCATGATTGATCCCAATCTTGGTCTGTCCAACCGGCATAGGTAGGCTCTGTGGATGGCGCAGTCTGCTGGATGGCGGGCTCTTCTGTGCGGTGGCTGCGAACGTCTTGGATTTTCCTTTGTCATGTCCGCCTTTTCCTTTGCCATTCTCATAGGATGGATAACCTTTGTTTCCATCATAGGGATATTGGAATTTGGATTTTCCTTTCTTTCCCTTCTTTCCTTTGCCTTTTCCCCAATATGCCTGGTTGTAGGGATCATAGTTTTCATTGGCCATATTGGCCTTCCCGCCAGAACCGCTTTTTCTGAAGGGTGTAAAGCCACCTCGTTGGCGACTGCCCTTTTTGTTTCCTGATTTTCCTTTTCCTTTTCTCTTCTTGAATCTGAAATTCCGCCCTGACACTTTCTTGCGATGAACGCATCGTTCTCCTCGAGGACCCAGAATGTCTCCTCATCGTTGTTTGGCATGAATCCTTCAAGTCCTTCTTCATCCTCAACCCAAAAGCCTTCTTCCTTCATATTCACCTTGTTCGATGATGAAGAATGTGTGGCTTCGGTTGCCTCCTTGAGGTCGGATGGATGGATCTTGAATGGATGTCCTGGTCGTGATGAAGAGTTCATGGTAGTGTGTCTTCAGCATCTCATAGGAGTAGTTCTCTAGTGAGATGTTTCTCAATCACATTGCACTTGTCAGTCTCTCTCTTTGCTGATCTGACAATTCACTCTGAATGATGAAAAACTGTGCAATGAGATTATGTTTGAAGGGAAATGCGTCCCGCTGTCTGTCCTGCATTCCCGTGATATACTGTCTGAGGACTGTTGGATCTTCCTGTGCTCGAACACCGGCTGCTTGCTGATGTCGAGCATTGTTCTTGCATTTGCGTCCTGTACGGACTGTCGAAATGATGGGGACTGTGCCGTGAAAACTGGCATCAAGCCCATCCATGCTGCCTTCAATCTCATGAGAAGGATTTCAAATTTTGATGTAAAAATGAGGAACTCTTGGTTCTGCCTGGGCGGGGCGGGGCGGGGCGGGTGAGTGAGTGGGTGGGTGGGTGGTGTGGTGGGTGTGGTGGGTGTGGTGGGTGGGGTTCAGTTGGGACGGTTGGGTTGGGTTGGGTTGGGTTGGGTTGGGTTGGGTTGGGTTGGGTTGGGTTGGTTTGGGGTGTGGGGTGGGGTGGGGTGGTGGGGTGGGTGATGATCTGTGGTGATGATGGGTGATGGTGGACGATGGTGATGATGATGGTAACGATGGTGACAATGGTGATGGGAATGATCATAATGAAACTGCGGTGTTGATTGTACATGCCCCTCTTCAAATTCTGGCAGTCTGGCCTGGCAGTGCCAAAGTCGCACAGCTTCACAGCTTGCCCGTCCCAACCTTGATGCAGCCGTGCGGTGCAGCGGTGCATCTGCGGGTCCGTGGTTCCACGCAGTTCCCCATGCGCTACGCGCAGCTGTGCTTCCAAAGCTTTGAAGCTTGATTCAAACTGCCATGCACAAAGCCAGCGGCGCAGCAAGAGGTTGTCAGGCTTCACATCGCAGTGGACGATCCCGACCACGTCATGTAGGTATCTGCGATGCAACGGGCATGGGTGCAAATTGGCAAACTTCCAGGAATCCAAATATCAACATAAAGTTGACTCGGTCTAGTCAGCCTCAAGGCTCGCATGATCTGCTTTGAGAACTGGAGCACCTTGTCCAGCCTGGCCAGCACCCGCGAGCCCGAGGGGAATGCGGCAATTCACTGAGGCCGGGGCGGCTGCTTGCCGACCTTGCGCAAATTGGATTCCAACCTCAAGCACGCCGCAGCGAATGGGCGAGTGAGAGGAACTGAATCTCACAATGGGCCCAAAGGGGCCGAGCCATCCTTCTTTCTCTTTGCCGCGCCGCTTCTCAAAGCACATACACAGGTACTCCAGCTCGCCATTGGGGCTCAGGACCTGACACTCCCTCCTTTTGCTTTCCCTTTGAAGACATGGACTTTTGGAGGTTGTTTGCAAAGGAAGACTTTTCTCTTCGCCCCCATCAAGGTTCCAATTCAGGGACCAAACTGCAGGGACGTTGACAGTCCCTTTGTGAACACTGTTGTCCTGTTGGCAAGGTTCCGCAGGACTCTGGCACAAACCAAATTGACACCGATTCTTGCTGACTAAAACCTACTTGGGTATGGGCCAACCCGCCTAGTTCTTGACCCTCAGCATTGTTTCCCTTTGAACCAAGGCGCAAATGGTACCCTCAAAGAATCACACTTATCACACGCACCCATATCGCTGAAGCAGCTCTCGGTCGGTTTCCCGCGGATGTCGGGCGTGCCTTGTGCACAAAGCTATCCCTCAGAAGCGCCACATGGGCGGCACTCTCTGGATCCTGGTGCTCGCTGCGTCTACATCCAAAACACCACCTGCTTTGCAAGCGGGGGGAGGGGTCCTCTACATCAGCTGACAAGGGTGATTTGTCAACCCTGCACCCTCGCCTGATCCTTCAGTCCAGCTGCCCTCTGCAAACATTCCACCTCGCAGAGCACACACCCGTCCGGCCATCGCCCTAGCTTTTGGCTGAGCAACCCACCTCGCGGCCAGCGTACTTGCGGAAGTGGTCCTGAGGCAGGCCAGACCGGAAGCAGATCTCAAAGAAACCAGGGATGGATTCAATGGTTGTTGCCGATTAAACATCTCAATTGGAAGCTGCCTTCGGCTCACAGACGCAGAGTAATCCGGAGCTGGCGGCTTCGGCTTTCGTTTTCGCACCCGTTGCACTTAGCCAAGGTCTAAATCTCAAGTTGTTGGTGGACTCCCTGCTTGGAGAGCCAGCAGCAACTTGTCCATACTCAACGATCGTGCTTGGGCAAAACTGGGTTCCTGCAATGCAAGTCTGAGACGCTCTGGGCTGCAGTGAGTGTGGCATCACGGATATGGTGCGATCCTGACGACGTGCTGTGTTGGGCTGTGTTGAAAGCAGTGCGTGCAAGCAGGCCCATAGCTGGGTGCTTTTGTGCGGTGTCTAACACCGCAGCAGCGGCGCTGCTGACGTGCACTCAGATGGCCCCTTTCTCGGGGATACTGGCGCTGCACATTCCCGCATATTGCTGATGCCGGTTATGCTGGTAACGCCAAATGTTCTGTCATGCCGGTGATGCGAAGGATGCTGCGAATGCTGGGGATGCTGGTGATGCTTGATGGCTAGCCAGAGCAGTGTGGCAAATGGTGAGAGGCAACAATCTCACAAAGTCCCTCATTGACTCCACCAATAAACTCTCCGGTGAACAAGGCGCCTGATGTCGGATCACTTTCATAGCCACGAGCTTGTTCTCTTTGTCAGCACAAGGCCACACCTGAGCAGCAAGGAAGGGCACAATGAGCCAGACACTTCCTTGCCAAGCGGCAACGGAGAAAACACCCACTCCGAGAGCTTCTTGTGAGACCACCGTGTAGCTTCCCATCTAACGGAAAAAGAGACAAGAGCGGTGCGCCAGAGATGCCGCAAAGAGTTGTGCCTCGCTGCCGTGAAGGTGGTACCCTAAGTGGGCCTTGAGGTAGCCTTCGTTTCGCCTTGGAGCTGAAGAGGCTGAGTCTAGCCATGACTCAACCGGCTTGCACAAAGAAACAAGGCTGAGTCAGGCTGAGTCTTGCAGCTCGACAGCCTCATGCAGTCGATTGCTCGCCTGCGCAGCCGGTATGGCGAAACACGGAAATTCAGAGGGATCAGTCGCCTCGCGTTCCTTTTGCTGCTCTGTCTTCTCCTTGGCTCTGGCGCAAGCACCCGTGAGGTTCTTGTTCTGGCCCTGAGCCTGCCCTCCAAAACAAGGGTGTACAAGTGATCCTTGTTCTGGCCCTGAGCCTGCCCTCCAAAACAAAGGTGTACAAGCGATCTAGGGCGGCAACCGGCTCGGGTGGTGGTGGCGGTGGTGCTGGAGGTGGTCCTGCCAAGCCAAATGGCTTCGAGCTATCAGTCAATGTCGCCATGGGGGCAATAGTGCTCGGAACTTTCACTAATGTTGAGGGCAAAGGATAGGTCCCTTGCTGACCGGCCAAATGTATCCCTTGCCAGCTTCTTCCTTTCAAACTCGCCAGAAGTGCGCATGTGTGGTCGTGGGACAACCACCATAGGCCTCACAGCAGCCCAAGCAATCCAGGATTGCGAATCCAACTCCATCTCAACGCAGGTGCTAGTTTTGCATGAACCTCGAACTGAGGTCCTGGCCTGACTGGAAAGGCCGCACCCATGCCATACTGGCCATGTCCTTGACAAGCACAAATGTAAAAAGAAGTAAAACAAATGAAGAAAGATGGGCATGTCAAGCTGTATGAATCAAGCCAAAAAAACACTCAAATGAACGACAACTACATCCCTTCACAGTGCAGACCAGGACAACAACCGTTTGGAAGGGATTCCTCTTAGCCAGGAGAGAGCAAACTTGGAGCCAAGATGAAATAGAAATCACTGCCAAATCGTCCACTCGTGTCTGAGCCGTGGCTACCAAATGGAATAGACGCAATTCAGAGATACCATGGCTGCGACAATGCGTCTGTTTGTTCTTCTGAGGGTAGCCCAGGCTCTGTCAATCTTGAAGCCGTTGTGGATTCGGGACTTGCAACACCAACATAGACCCCTTCATCAGCCCATGTTGGCAGCTGCCTTGCGCGATTCCACCTTGCTTTTGGCTAGTTGTCTATGGCTAGTTGGGCAGCGTCGAGCGCAGCACGTGAAAGGCCAAAACGCAAGACCCAGCGTTGTCTTGTTTGGGGCACGCTTGGCATACCTCCACCCTTTTGCGGGTGTGTGAGTTTAAGGCAATTGGTCTGGACAACCCTTAATAGCATTTCTACAAAGCTATGGCCCCGGCCAAACGGACTTCGGCTGCGATCATGCATCTGCATCGGCTGCATGGCATTCGGGGCAAACCCAGTCGAGTCGCCAGTCGGAAGGTCAGATGCTCGGAACGTAACTTCAGATTAGGACGCCTTGCCCGTTTGGACTCACATGTGTTTTCCTGGCCATGCGCAGTAGGCACTGGGCAGTCAAGACCCTGTAAACTCTAGGTTTGCTTCCCGTGTGATGCGTTGTGGCTTTTGGCTCAAAAGTCTCAGCAAGGGTTGAATGCCTCGCAACATGGCGCCGCACCCTTGGGTTTCTATCGGTCAAAGCTTGAGCAAACGCAGTACGCAACACAAGTTTTGCAACTTGACTCCCTGAAATCAACAGAATTCCGATGATACACATACCAAACCAGTTGCACACACCCTGAGGCATTCGTTTAGCCCGCGGGCCAGATGAAACTGTGCGCCATCCCCGCTCAGGGCGAGCTTCTTTGGAGGATGGCCAGGTGAGACGCGCTGAAAAACGCCGAGCCCGTGAGAACCACTGACATGAACGGCGCTATGAAAACAATTAAAATGCACGGAACAAATCGCCAAATATCTCGCGCCTTGCCTTGAACGGAAAAGCAAGGATGTCTTGTGTTGGATTTCTTTGTGTGCGCGTTTGTGTGGGGAATCGACTTCAGCCAGAGGAAGCCGGACTCTACCTTTCAAGCCGTTTTTGACGGCAAAGGTGCCCGGCTTCACTTCTGGGCGAGGGGGACACGCATGCAAGAGCGGGAGACGGCAACTGGCTCAAAGACTCAAAGCTCGAGTCAAGAACAATGTTTTGCATGACGGTGTACGTCCTTTCATCTCCCACCAGAATCCTGGCCTCAACGCGACTTCTCGCGGATCTGCGGCCACCTCCTACAGTGAAACGCGGGCTCCACGAAGAGCGCTCCCTAGCGCACCTAGAGCTCAATATCAGCACTGAGGGCAGGGTAGGAGCCAAAGGCCAACCTTTGTGTCAGTTGTCGCGCCGGCTTTGTTCAATGGTCACTTTGCAAACTGGCAGAATACTTACATATATACATATGTAAACATATATATATATATACTTGCAGTATTGAAAAATATCCATGATCAGCAGAGTTGCAATGTGCATGAGTACATGTATGTGTACATGTGAAAATACATGACTTTACACACACGCCCCCCCCCCCCCAAGATCCCACCTTTGGGCTGTTTTAAGTATACTGTGGTGTCCAAAATCCTTTTTGGGTGTGAATATATATATATATAAGAGGGTTGTCCAATATTCCTTGCTCCAAACATCGCCTTCCGCCTCGCCCTTCCGCGAACTTCCGCGATGGAGGTAAAACCACACATTCTGAAACGTGTCTGCACATAAGTAAGTTTCCGTAAATTAAAAGTAAAGCCAGCCAAGAGGAAGAGCTAGTGCAGAAAGCAAGAAGTAGACTAGGAATGGAGCGAGGATGGGATGAAGAGCAGAACGAGCAAAAGGAAGGAGAAGGACATAGCAAACGTAGGAAGCGGAGCAGCAGAACGCCGTAGAAAGAAAAGGAAGGAGGAACGTGGCAACAAGCGACAAGCTGCTCTACCCCCCGCGCACGGCGACAGCCACAGTTGCGGGGGCTTCGTTTTGGTATTGTTTTGGGTATCGTTTTGAGCACTAGCACGCTGCTACAACTGCGGTGTCCCCGAACAAGAGAATGAGCAGCAGCACTGGGAAGCAGACACAAGCGACATTTCACGCTAAAACGAGAGACGGGTGGGCCAGCCCCGGCGCAAGGCGACAGCTGCAATTGTATGGGTTTCGTATCGTTTTGGGTATCGTTCGGAGCTCCGAATGTAATGCCGGAACGAAAAACAAATTTCGGACCGCGAATTTTGTTTTTCGCGCTTTTCTACAAACTCTACCGCGGGAATCAGAAGGACCACCGAATATGATGCCAGCCTCGGTAGCTCAGTTGGCCGCAGGCACTCCGCGGTATCGTTTCGGAATTGCGCAGGTATTGCTCGGGGTATCGTTTTCATCTCAGTACACATCAACACATGAAGCACACTTTGACTTTGACAGCCCAGCTGAAACATCGCAGCTTCTAAGTACTAGCAGAGTACGAGCTGCCCCAGCTCAAGCAGCACAACTTTTCAGTACTCCTTTAGTACAAGAGCAAAGCTTCATCCCATGATAACACATAACCTTCCGCGAAACTTCCGCTCGCCCTTCTGCTGTCTTCCGCGACCCAAGCGCCGTAACACCGAATATGCTTTCGTATTCAGCCCTTACAAAAAAATCCATGGGGGGGTTTTGGTCGACCCTTCCTTTTGAGAGCAGGACGCTGTGAGCGTGCGCGTTTTTTTCCGAAAGCATCGCGAAGGGTTCTTCCGTGCGGAGCCCTTGGACAAGTTACATAGAGCCAAGTTACATAGAGCCAAGTTGCGCAGAGCCAAGTTGCACAGAGCCAAGTTGCACAGAGCCAGGTTGCACAGAGCCAAGCTGCACAGAGCCAAGTTGCACAGAGCCAAGTTGCACAGAGTCAAGTTGCACAGAGCCAAGTTGCACAGAGCCAAGTTGCACAGAGCCAAGTTGCACAATTTGCACAGAGCCAAGTTGCACAGAGCCAATTTGCACAGAGCCAAGTTACCTAGAGCCAAGTTACACAGAGCCAAGTGCCGAGATCGTGCGTGTCGAAGCGCTCTGGCTGTGGCGCCGTGCGATTTTGTTGCTCGCGAAATGGTCTTTCGAAGTTGTCTCGTGGTTTGCGCGCCTGCTTTCGCAATCCCGCGGTCGCGGGTTCGATTCCCCCCTGCTCCGGCTTGACAATCGCAGCTTTTAAGTACAAGCGTAGCACGCGGAGCGTGCTCCTGCAGCTCCGGCTGGAAAATCGCAACTTTTAAGTACAGACGTAGTATGCGGAGCGTGCTCCCGCAGCTCCGGCTGGAAAATCGCAACTTTTAAGTACAAACGTAGTACGCGGAGCACACTCGCGCAGCTCCGGCTGGAAAATCACAACCTTTAAGTACAAAAATAGTACGCGAAGTACATTCCCACAGCTCCGGCAGCACTTGCGCAGAGCAACAGAGTCACTTGCGCAGAGCAACTTGCGCAGAGCAACTTGCACAGAGCACTTGCACAAAGCACTTGCGCAGAGCAACTTGCACAGACCAACTTGCACAGAGCACGCGCAAAGCGCTTGCACGGAGCAACTGCTTTTTGGCGATTAGAGGCAGAAAGCCTTCGCGCAGACACGCTCGCCGCAGCGATGTAAAAAGGTGTCTCCGCGGCTGGATGAGCTAGTTCACTTTTTGAGTGGAAACTCGAGTTGAACTATGTAGCATAAGGTGTCTTTAAATGTCAGCTGAATTGTAAAGAAATTTGATTGGGAAGAACATACTGTGTAAACTATCAATTAGACTAGAACTATTCTAATTCAAGTTCTACTATGAAACAGAAGTTGTGATTGGATTCATTCCTTATCAAATTATGCTTAACCTCTAACTTAAAATTGTAATGTTCTATTGGGCAAGGAGTTACATCTAAATTCTAAATGTAAGATGTAACTTCCAGTAGGATTCTGATCAAGTATTTCCTTATGGAGTCCTATTGAAATCCGAGTCAAATTCAAACTGAATTTTAGAGAGCGGGCGTTGGTGGAGATGTGAGTTGAGTACGGAAAACGCTACAGAACACTGTTTTACTGTGTTTTCTGACCATGGTAGTTCTGGGGCTAGTAAACACAAAAAAAGCACAATTTCTGACCTCTGAGTTCTCTCCTTCTGAAATCTACTTAATATATTTACCAAAATCTACCCAATGTCCGACTGAAATTAACTAGAAATTATTCAGCAAAGACTCCAATCAAATTGTATGTGATAAATTACATTCTAAGTTATGATTAATCTAGTTCAACGTAAATGTTACACGGGAATTCCGAGCGGGCCCAAAGAAGCTGGAAAACACACAACACAACAGACATAGCCTTCTCTTTGCTTGCAAACCCTCGGCGCGCTGATCACTAATGTGTTCAGACAGTCATTGCTGTGAGCTGACCCGCTCACCCCAGAAATATCCGTATAGACGAAGCGCGCGGCAACCGACCCTCAGTGCATGGAAAAGCACCTGAATCGCGCCGCGGTGCATTCCTCAGTACTCTGATCTGTGACATCTTCATTCATGACATCGCCGGAGGAAGAAAGGTTGCATTCTTGGAGGTTGACGTCCTCGCCATGTGTTTTAGGGTCCTGCTTGCGCTTGCACTGCGACCGTTTGCCGTAGTCAGTCCGTTGCTGAGAAGCGTTGCGCCAGTTCTGCCATTTGGTTTCGTTTGGCTCGTGTCGCGGTTGGCTTGCGGTAGCGCCCATCCAAGTCACAGGCCCCGCTAATAAGCATCTCATTGCTGATGCGCTTGAAGCGATCCGTGGGTGAGACGTTGTGGTGGTCATTGAGCACGTTGCGATGCTCATCTTGCGCCACGTCTCCGATCGGTCTGGTGGTCCTGCCTTATCACAATTCCACGAAACCCTGCCTTAATCACAGCTTTTGTTAACATTCTTCGTCAGCCTCATTGGGACAGAGGATATGCGCAGAATTGCGTGTAAGATTGGGACTGTTGGGCCCATCTGCCATCAGGATGGTTTTCACAAGACGAGCTTCGATCTCCCGCTGACGTCCCCCGAGTTTGTTCAGCGTCGCCACGCTTGAGTTGTTGCCCTCATGCTCATCATTGACCGGTTGTCTGGCGCGTTGAAGAAGAGACACAGCAGCCTGGACTAGCGCACGACGATGTCGGAATGATCGTCCTTATAGTGATGTTCTTGACACCTTTTAGAAGGACACCGCTGTTCCGTCCTGAGCTTCTCCACAGTTGCACATCGGAAATCATCTTCCTAATAGAGACCTTCAACAGGATACTTCACTTCCGGATCAAGGAACATCTCTTGTCTTCTCTGGACTTCTCTTCGGGGACAAAAATATAAGGTTCATTGATGAACTCATCGTAGCGCTCAGCATTTTCCTGTTGACGCTCTGCTTGAGAAGACAGCCATTTCTGACAGGCTCTTGGCGTTCCGGCGACACAACACTGAGAAATCTAGAGCCAGAATTGAAATTGAAGATCCTTGCTATTGGGAGGTCGTCTGGATTGAAAGGCGCTGACCTTTCGTGACTGGCACCATGATGACGTCAGGGGTTGATTTGAAGGCACGCGGGTGGATCTCCTGGAGTGAGGTGATCCCGGTCGCACAATCCTTATTGGCTCCACGTCGAAGGGCCTTGACGGATGGTCAGGATCCGCGAGCGGTGGCAAACGTGAAAGTGCACTGGTGGCGCCGGACGGCCATTGGGCTCAGAAACCCTGCGTCGAGATGTTCTTTCCAGGAAGATTGAAAAGAATAAATGCATCATTGCGTGAGCCTCGAAGATCGTACGCGCAGATCGTACAACTTCCTAATTAGCGACGAATATGCAACATCAAAGGTGAGATTTCTGGCGCGCGCGTTTGTCGTGGACGAACGCACACATGTCGGTGACATTGTTGACGGCGGGAGCCACGTCGAGGAAACTGTTATGGCACCCCATCGAAATGACGTTGACGTCGGACTGATCTGGGCGATCCTCGACACAGAAACACTTGAAGAGCTTCTTGACGAAGGTCATGTGTGAGCTCTTCCATTCGCTAAAATCACTGCGCGCTCCTTGTTCATATCTGGATTGGAGGAAGGCTGGCCTCTTCTCTCCACGTCTGTCATGTTCTGGAACGTATTTGAAATATGGAGGAGCGGTAGCCATGCACCGACTCTCGTAGTAGCAATGTAACACGAGGCCGAAAGTGGCAGGCTCGCCTGGTAGACTGTGTGAGGGTCATTTTCGAGATCATAGGCATGACTACGATTGTCAAGCGGTGAGTCTGACCTTGAGTTTTACGCACAGTCCAGCACACTAATGTCAAGATGTCAATCGGCAAAATCTGCCTGGTAGCGTGTCCAGGGCTCAATCTTTCCAGTGATACCTGACCGCAGACCTTGATGGAACAAGCATGAACCATGGCATTTCAGTCTTCAGGTCGACTCCGCACAACCGATTCAGAATCATCATTGCGGCGATCACGAAAGATCAGCCTTCTCAATCCAGATGACCTCACAGTGAACAGCAACGACTAAGGAGTCACTTCCAGAGACACCCGAACGCCGAGAGACTGTCAGGAATGGTTGTCTTCTCAAGCAGAGCGTCGATCAAAAGAATGCTGAGCACCACTCAAGACGAATTGAGAGGTTCATCAAGCTTTTCCTTTGCGCTCAAGGAATTTACATAAGAGAAGTCTACCGCGAACCCAACTGCATCACCAGTCAGATCCAAATGGTTTTCAAAACGACATTTCGTCTTCACACAGAAGAGCATATCAACGACATTGCAGGATCCTTCGCGAGCAAACCCTCTGTGTTGGGAAAAGCTCACAGGAGCTCGATGAGGGTTTCGCCCGTTACAAGAATTACCAAGAGAGACGATACAGGGAGGGCCCAAGATCTTTGAAAGGTGGCTGCTCCATTGGCGAGATCGCGTCGCTGAAGCATGAAGACTTCTATTATGAAGATGACGCCCGTCATAAAACAAAAACAATGCAAAAGGCATCAGGCAGATCACCAAGGACGATGATCATGATGCCATGTCTAAATCACTTCTCCGAAACCCAACCAGCCGGTGCATGAGTCTGAGGACAATCGAAGACTCAACCCAAAAAAGTGGACATGATCGGAAATCCGAACATCCTCTGTCTCAATGAAGCTGACAATTTCTTCGATTAACGTGCGGTTCACAACCCAGAAACATTCAGAGATGCGGCAGGTGCCTTCATCAGGCAGGATTTCGCGGAATCGCGATCCGGCAGAAAACACACGCGCTACTGAATGCTTCGCGAAGGGAAACTGTTCCAGCAGGGTGGAGTTGCTGACGCGCCGCAGCACCGTCCGCAGCAACTACTGGGACATCACCGTGGGAATTGTCAACTGCAGTTTCGAACTTGCAAATGGAGCAAATGATCCCATGTACATGAGACCAACACCAGGCTGTTTGACATGTGCAGGAGACTTCATGAAGACAAAGGAATACAAGAAAGATCAGCCCCTGCCAAACACAAAGGTCTTATCGGAAAAGAGAGAGAGAGAGAGAGAGAGAGAGAGATTGTCGCCATCATGGCACCGTCCCAAGATGAGTTCAAGAACCCAACCATGGGTACAGTCGACGATGGATTTTACTAAGGATCAGAAGCATGTGCTGCGCAGGATTGCCATTCGAAACCATTGCACCCGTCCTTCGCTCCAAAATACACAGTACTCGATCCCAAGCACCACTGTGACATTGTGACTTGAGCTGCGAACAAGACGGCGAACACTTGCATCAGCTCTTATTTGAATAAGAGCTATAACTGTATCATCCATCTAATGGGCCGAATGCGCTACTCGACGGGATCAGACCCCGATTAAACGATCACATTCTGGCGATGTGCCATGAGCGGCTAGAGACTACCGCAGAGACTACAGCTGCGCTTAAGGATTTCATGCGGCGTTCATTGTATTCAAAGAGAAAGGCTACAGAAACTTCTCGCTTGCAATAAAGATGGCGACGGCCAAAAAGTATTAACGTCTGTTGTGTTCTGCTTTTTCCAGTGACTTGACCTCGACGCAATCTCACGTTTCACGCAATATGTTGGCTTAATTAAGGCCCTTTCTTAGTCTCAAACAGCGACATCAATAGCTCAAGAGATAAAATGGTCGCTGCTCGTGCCTCGCATTCCCAATATCAGGAACCTCCACCTTAATTCCCTGAACAACCATCATTTGACTCTTTCAATACCTGTTCTTAAATGGATCCCCGGACTGCAGACCTGGATCCCTGAACTGACCATCGCTATCAATCCTGCGCAACCAGGTGGTTTGATGGCACATATGGCTTTCCTTTCAGCCAAGGAAAGGATTCCAAACCCAAACTCGCTGAGGAGCAACGTGTGTGTGTGTGGGCGGGTCTTTTGAAGACCCTTTTCAAGGTGGGTTAAAGGGGGCAAAGCCAAAGGAAAACGGTTGCGTCATTTTTGAGGTCCAAAAATCCCGTGACACCCAAATGGCTGTGGGTCAAAACCCTGTACCCTGAACATCAAAATAGGTGGCAAATGGATGTTCATCCACCCCAAAATGGAGCCATGGGCTATCCCCCATGGCCAAATAGGACCCGACGCGTCTCGGCCGGGCAGCTTGCCCTTGCGGCTGTAGGCGAGGCCTTGGCAGCCCAGCGGGGCGCCCAGTGGGGCCAAAGGCCCCGCTGGCCGGCGCTTCAGCTGCGGCGAGCTGTGGGACAGCACCAGCCTAGGGCTCAAAACGAGCGCCCAGCGCGCATGGGACAAGACTCAAGATGAAATGAGTTGGTTTCAGTCAACAATTTCATGAATAAGATCAACAAATTGATGACTTGATTGATTCATTAAATACGTAATTAATTAACAAATAATCGCCTTAATCAGACAATGAATTGACAAAACATAGTTCCAGATATCCTTCCATGAACAGATCGCGCCTGGGGGCCACAGGCGGAGCAGCCTCTGGACTCTTTGGAACCACGCGAGGCGGCTGCAGATTCGCAGTGACACGCTGCAGGAACTCCAACTCCTCATCGCGCGCATCACCGTCAAAAAGTCTTAAGGTCGACCCCACCAGGTCGAAAAAGAGGGGGCGAATATCCTCACTCCTTTGCGGCTGGGACTGAACCCCACCCGGGTGTTACGCTCAATTGTGCCCCGCGAAGGTGCTGCACCCTTTGCGAGTTTGATTACGCTTCACATCCTGTACTCTCACATGATTTTGTTCATCATGGTTAGGGCAACAAACATCTTGAAGTTTGGGGCATGTGAACTGACTCTGAGCCAATCTTCTTGGAATGGGGGAAGCTCCTGAACCCCCAAGTTTAGACACACAGGCTCGCTTGACGTTGCTTGGTTTCACATCCATTCTTCCAAACGTGAACAAGAGAGAAGTCATCCACGGATGTCAAGCGTCGCTCAACGGGCCAGCTTGCGACATGCGCCGCAGCACGTTCCAGCTCACGTCCCCAGCAGTGTCTGGAATGAGGAAGAGGCTTTTCCTCAGGTCGTCCGAATTCATAGGTTCGGGCTGAAACAAATCAACAGCCCAATGTCCCGGCCCTCCTTTTGGAAGCCAAAAGCAAAGGCATTGGTTGCCGAGAAGGTACTACCTTCCCGACAAGCACCAATGTGAAACGTCGACGGGAAAGATACAAACCTACGAGAACCAAAACAGAAATAAGACAACGGCACAAAATAGGAGCTCCCCATCCAACTTCATCCACAACTCTTTCCATGAAAAAGAAGAGAGGGTCATCCCAAAGACTCCAAAAACACAAATACACATGCTTGAGGCCTTACCGCATCGAGAGGCAGTTCCGGTTGGCATTGCGGCGCTCTGAATATGCTCTCCAAGTCCTGGCAAGTCCCATGCCAAGAGAAGCGTCCCTAAGACTCAGAAGCTCAAGGTCCTTCCCTTCGGGAAAAAGGTAGACCAAATACAATGAACTCCTCAAAGCTGAGGCTCCGTGTCTCAGGGTAGAAGAGTGGCTGAACCGAAACAACAACACAAGAGCGCTTTGAAAGCGACCTTTGAGGACAGAAGTGCTCCCTTTGATTTAGCTACTCCCTTTTCTTGCTTGCTTGGTGTAAGCCGCCGATGTGAAGCGCCGCTGCCTAAAATTTGTGACAAGCAATGACTTGCTGTTTGCATGCTGGAGACTGCGCAAACTCCTAGGATCATTGTCAACAATGTATCCTTTGTCCCGAGCCGAACTCCACTCTATCAATGTGAATCAAGGACGCCGATGATGATGAAGCGACAAGAGAAAAATCCTGCGGTGGTTTGCACCCAACGGAGCCACGTATTCCACGTGAGGATCCAAACTCCTTTGACTTGGGTCCTGGACAATGGGTACAAAGCCTCATATAGGCCGTGCTATCCCCACGAGCAGTTGGGAGATATGTTGGATGGCCTAAGTCCGGAAAACAGGCCCGTTCATCGTCCTTTGCTGCGAATATCAAACCCTGGATTCATCAACCTAGCGGCTCAAAAGATGATGCCCCCAAATGAGAGTTGGCTTCCCTCTTGCACGAAACACCTATGAATCAAGCAGAAACTTAGTGCGTGGTTAGCTAAAGCCAAAAACCAAAAGCCCGAAGCAATGAGACCCAAATATGAGACCCAAATTTGAGCCAACTCCCGAGCTTCGGTGAGATCCATCGCCCCAAGACCGCGCCGTGGCCGTGAGCTCGCCCAGCGCCGCGATGGCGCGGCAGCCGCTGGAGCTCTGCGCGAAGGGCTCCGGGGCGCACCTCGAGCGCTCGGCGGCCGTTTGGGTCGAAGCCTTGACGGACGGCCAAAGCGGTACAGGGGTGCATCGTTTTTTGAGGACCACACACACACCGGAAAAGAAACAAGAATAAGCTCAGGTGATATCCCCAACAGCATGCGGTGCTCTTTTTAGTGCTCACACCATCCCGCAGCCCTTGCAGAACCTCGTGGAACCCTCGTGGAAACACGAGGTAGCCTGGAAAAGAAAACGCCCCCAGGTGGACAATTGCACCCTGCAAATTCAGATCCAAGCCAGTGAACAAGCAAGTGAGGTGGTCGTGCTCTGTTTTGATGGAGCAAGGAGCAAGAGTTGATGGACAAAATCCTGATTGGGCTGGCTGAAACTGGGATAAGCTGGTGTTGGACGAAATCCTGCACCCTGGGAGAAGCCACCTGCCAACTAGCACAAGATTATGCCCATCGACAGTACGCCAGCCGTGTAACTTAAAACATATAACATGTCATCGGAGAATTGCTTAAAGTTGGGAGGATTCTCCTGAAATGGCAACAACAGATACACAACGCGCGTTTTGGGAGAATGGAGACTCTGGTCAGATGAGACCTGGGGGGAGATGAGCTGCCTGCAAGGTTGCATGACCTGCTTCTTTGCCGTGGGTTTCGGGTAGAGCCCGTTTTTCATGCTGGTGTTTGATCTTTCAGATTCCGCTTGTTGAGGGTCGACTTGGATTGGCGCGAAGTCAACATAGGACTGAAGTTATTCTCAACCCACAGCGCCATGGAAGCTGGTCCTTCCGTTTGGAGGGAAATGGTCCAAACCACCCAGCGGGCATGAGCTTGATAACCTGAACTCGATCAAAGACTTTGGAGCAGCAAGAGGCCAGTCTGGGTGCATCCCGAGGACCATTCAGTGGATCCTGCTTTGTGTGAGCCCGGCCTGTTTCCAAGCCACTGCAGGATGCCTTGCTTTGCAGCTTGGTAACGTGTAAATCAGATACTTGGTTGCATTGGTGTTCCACGTGTGCCAGAAGAAGGCAAACACCGGCACATCTGCTCGCAAGGGAAACATCCTATGTTGACCAGGGCGTGTTTCAAAAAGTCCCGGACCCCAGAAAAAGGAGGGCAGAAAAAGTTTGGCCTCATCTTAAGAACATCCCAAAGACGCGGCTGCGAAGACCCCCCCGGATTCTCCCAACCCGCCTCACCAAGGCGAGGTCTCCGCGGGAGCCCTCGATGGCGCGAGCCGCCGCTTCCCGCGGGGCACCCCAGGTGTTGCTGAGAATCTGCGCCAACGCCTTCGCTTCGAACCCCGTGCGCCGTTCGGGCCAAAACGTTTGGGGAGCAAAAAGAGTTGGAAAAAAAGGGAATCCACTTCCCAGCCTTTGGGAAAAGAACAACCCACGTGAAAACCAGTCGGCTTCGAATGTCGAGATTGCTTTCCTGGGCTGAACTGGTCCCGACTGAACATAGAACTGAAAGCCCCAGGCTACACCACTCGCCTGTGTGCACACATCTTCCACCTCCTCCACCACGCTACCTGGGATAGGCCCAGCCCCAGCGGGAGTCAAGCCAAAACAAGCCAACGTTCGCCACGCCTCATGCAGGATCGGTCAACATGCGTTGGAGTTGCTGCTTTTTGTCAAAATGTTGCTCCGCCCCGAACACAAGAAAATAACGAGTCGACCATTGGATACCTGGAGACTGAACCTCAGATGAGCTTATGGCTGTCGCTGGCGCCTAAATTTCGCATCCGCAGAAACTTGACACGTGAGACACGCGTCCAAGGGGCCCTTCTCCTCCAGAGTGATTCGCCTCCTGCCCGCGCGAAGGTACAATGACAGCTGCTGTCTGAAGACCTGAAGGACACCTGGCAGGCACGCAACGAGCGTCACGTAGGTTAGGTGTGTCTTTTCTAGGGGACCCCCAAAAAATGGTGGCCCTTTTGGCTTAACCCAAAGGGGTCCCAAGAAAACAAACACCAAGCTTGGGTTCAATTACATCTTGTGTCATTGTCTGGCCAGTCACAGGTGCCATGGTCAAAGCTCCTCAAATGTGAGTCACGGTCAAATTCGGAATGATGACTCTCCGAAACCACTGTCCTGTTTGACCCTGAGCAACAGGCCCTGGAGTCATGGGCCGATTTCCACTGGGTATGTGTCAAAACTGGGCTTCCCACTTGGTCCCCCTTACCAACCTTAAAAGGGTACCCTCAAAAAGATTCACACCCAACTGGATCTGAATTTTGATGGGAGATCCTTTGGTGGACATCATTTAGGTCGGTATTCATGTCCATCAAAGCCACTTCCACCTCGGATGGAAGCTCACAGGGTCCGGTCCTGCGATGGCGGACTGCTCGCGGCTCTCCAACTTCCGGCGGGCGGAGTCGGAGAGCTTGTGGCAGGTGTTCAGCAGCCGAACCAGATACCTCACCGAATGAGCACCCCTTCCTCCCTGACCGCAGGAGAGGGCGCCCCCTTCCCTGGTGACCGGTTCTTAGGGCGTTGACTGAGAGGGGCATGAACATCGGCAAGCATCCGCTGAAAAAGGGGGACATACCCCCAATGGTGAAATTAGGGCCTGAGTTATGTAGGCAAAAACCGAAGAACACGTGCCTGGAACTCCCCAAAATGAATACACAAACAGGCAGGGCATGACAGGGGTGATTTCCCGCTTGTTTTCATGCACCAGTGAATTGCAACTGACGGTAAGCCAGTGACCCACAACCCGAAGGCTGGAGGGGAAGCACAAACAGGGCCAACAGCATTACAACCACCAACAAATACGGACTTGAACTCGCCCTCCCAAAAGGTATGTGTCTTGCTTCATCATCATAGGGAAGAAGGCAACTTGGAGACAAATCTTAAAGTTACGGCGCCTCCCGCCACCAATGTTGTTCCGTTCCCTTCAATGCAAGAATCGACAGGTTGCATTGCATCAGCACCAGCTTTTTCCCCAGGGCGGTCCCTTCACCTCTTAAGGACCATCTGCCTAAGTCCTGGCCCAAAATCGGTTGGCAATTGCGGCTGGCATGTCGCTGACGAGTGAGTTTTGCGTGAACCTCGATAAACATAGATCAAAAGGGGCGACAGTACTTCAAACATGGTTAATTTAGGTCTCAGGCGCTCCATCAGTAGCAGCTGCGAGCTCATCTTGCTTCCCAGCACCTGGAAGCAACAGTGCTCAAAAATCAAAGCCAAAGCTGCGATGGCCCTCAAACCGCTCCTTCAGGGTTTGCAAGGCTTCTTCCACCAGCTTCAGATTGCTCGCCGGCGCCGGCAGCATCATCTTCTTCACCTTCGGCGTTTCTGGCGGCTCCAAAGGCGCCTCCGCCTCTGGCTTGACCGCCTGCGCCAACTTGAGCCAGTTGAAAGTTGAAAGCACTGCCTCGACGTGTGGACGGCTTTCGGTACTTTCGGTACTTTATTGTAAAAAGTCCAACAGGAAGGCTCAGGGGCAGCATTCCGAGGGCTGGCCATCCGAGCCTACGAGCTGCGTGGAAACCACCCGAAAAGTGTGGGATTCCTCAAAGCCACTCTGCCCTAGGACCGCAGCGTTTGGGACTGAGAAGAGCGTATGGTGCGGAGTGGGGGGAGCAAATGGCCACGCGGTTCTTGCTCTCCATTGGTTCATCCGCGACAAGGCAAGGTTCTTGAACATTCTGAGGGGTTCCGAAAGGGTCAGAGCCTTCCTGGGGCCTCTTGATTCTTGCCTGCCTGAAACTCCAGGATTGGCTACCTTGGCTACCCCTAGCGGCATTTTAGGGAAACTGCAACACAAAGAGGTGGCAACTTCCGAGACGGATTGCACACAATCCACCAAAGGAAAAAACGGAGCGAAGTCCGCCAGCGAATTTCCCCCCAAAGCCCGTCCTGCGGCGACTCCGGTGCCTCCTGTGCAGGCGCCGGCTCGCTCTCGCAGACCGGCAGCTGCTCGCCGAAGAGCACGGCCATCAGCAGTCGGCTTCGAAGCTCGTCCTGCGCCATCAGCACCCAACGTGCGGTTCGTCCAAAATGGTGATTTAGTCATAAAATCAAGGTCTAAGCCTTTCTATAGATATGGCAGTGGGTCAAAATATGTACCCAAACTGGGAACCCTGGTGCTGTACTGTGGTCGCATGGTGGTTTAATTTTGACCCACAGCCATATGAAACCAGGTAGAACGACCCGCATCTTTGCTTCGACCCGCATGGATTTGTTCGACAGGGTTTTGGGGCGCTCACGTGAGGCGTGGCACACCAAGTCCTCTCTGAAAAATGTTCGCCATGCTGGCCTGAACCCATTGGATTCTGGGGATCCGTTCGGTCTCTTAATGGGGATGCCTGAGGTTGGTTGAGGCGCGGCTCTTTTCAATCAAACACATCAAGCTGCGGGTCCCTGATGTTCGCTTGGAATTGACAAATGGACAAGGCCAAGTCTGCGAAGAACCTCGCGACAATTGCAGATCCTCTGAGTGGCGGCTTCGCGTGATGGGCTCATATCGGCGCACTGTGTCCGGGGTTGGGTAGAGCCGAATGAAGTTGCCTCAAATCGGGGCCATCAAGAACCCAAGTGTGGCCTTCAACATGCTTCCTCAGCTTTGGGGGACACTTTTGCGCTGGCGTGTTCAGCACCAGCGGCTACATCTTTGGTTCTCTTCCAGCGCATGCACCAGCAGCCGCAAGTGCGGCTCATTCACAGTGTTCAAGCACACCTCGCACGCGTGCGTGGCTCAAAATCGGCTGATCAGGAAAACGTTGAGAGTACTTGAAACAGTTCATGCGGCCATGCGAATTGACTTGATACGTGATGCTTGATTGATGCTCCCGTCGCCTGCTTCCGGGGGCTGAAGGGCCGTGAAGGTGCCGGCGGCGGCGGCGGCAGCGGCGGCGCAGCCGGCGCAGCCGTTGCCGCGGACCTGAAGCGAGACTCCAACCCTCGAAGGAAAAAAATAGAAAAAATAGATGGCCGAGCCGCGGAGGGCTCGGGCTCGAGTTCTCGCCTTCGTCCGATGGGATCGGTGGGATCGACACCGGGGCATCGGACTCGTCCTCCGCCGTGTCCTGGGCACGCAGCGGGTCTTGCCGGTGCCCCAGCAGGTTCCTGGACTTCACCGGGATGGACTGCTGCAGCTTGCTCATGTACCTGAGAGCATGCATGCGTCACATACCTGAGAGCATGCATGCGTCACATACCTGAGAGCGTGCATGCGTCACATGCCCCGGGAAAGAGCTTCCCCCTTCAGACAAAACCCACAACAGCACTTTGCCTTTTGTCCGGGCACAGAAATCGGGCCCGCAGCCGCGCGGAGGTGAGAGTCTGCGGGTCCAAGCGCCTCACTCCCAGCAGATTAAAGGCATCCGCGAGCAGCGAACTCTTGATCTGCTTGTCCAGCGGCGAGTCAGCCTCAGCTCTGGCTCCAGACCCTGAAGTTGCTCTAAAGGCAAACCAAAGGAGACCCACCACTTTGAGATGCTCCGTGCGCAAAGTTGCTTGGATCTTGCACGCTGAAGAAAACATCTGTTGCGGCCGTGATGCCTGCATACTCGGACTTAGGTTGACCTGCCCAAGTCCCGCCAAGGAAAACGGACTGACTTGGACGTCGAGCCACCTTGGTTAAGAAGGGAATCCAAAGGATTGCCCACATTTTTGGGGCTTCCATGTCTTCACACATACCCGCAGTCCTCCAAAAGCCATGGCTTCAGCTGCTCGTCCACCAGGACATCAAAGCCATAGAGCTCGAAGCAACTTTGCTCGTGGATGCATGCTTCCTTCGTGGCCGTGCTGATGGCTGGCCTAACAGTTCCGACTCGAGGTGAGCCACAAGCAAAACATGGGAAATCATGCCAAAGAGTCAAGAGGGCAAATATCCAAACCTATGCCGACCTATGCACTGGCCATGACTAACCGTTGACTTACCCGGGTTTTGATCGTGACCAGGTCATGCCGGAACGCGCTGGCAAGAATTCTGGCTGAAATTCAGACGCCAACCCTCTGCATCCGGGCGACTCTACGCTGAGAAGCGTCTTCACAATGACATCCATGATGCGACTCCACATCTCCTTCACGTCCACGCCAACGCACTTGAGGTGCCGGTTCAATGCAGATAGGCTCCACTTATGGCCATAGTTGTCTGCTTGCACTCGCTGGTTTTCCTGAAAGTTATCCGCGCCCTTGTTGATGGAGTAGTTCGTCAAGTGGCGGTACACATCTGCTAAATGCTCCTCGAGGTGCGACACCGACTTGAACATGCTACTCGGACCACACTTAAATGTGCACAGTGTGGGGTGCGCGGTGTGGGGTGTGGGGTGTGGGGCTGGGGGGGTGGGGGGGTGGGGTGGTGTGTTTGTGCTTCGATTTGTGCTTGTGTTTGCGTTTGTGTGCGCGTTCATGTTGTGTTTGTGATTTTGTGTTTGTGGGTGTGTGGGTGTATAGGTGCATGCGTGTGTGTGTGTGTGTGCGCGCGCATTGTGACTTTTTTGTGTGTGTGTGCGCTTGTGTGCGCGTGTGTGAGTGTGCGTCCGCGTGTGTATGTCTGTGTGTGTGTGGGTTTGTGTTTGTGGTTCTGCTTCTCCTTCTGCTTGTGCTTCTGTTTCTGCTTCGTGTGTACTTGTGTGGTAGTCAGTGTGTGTGTGTATGCGTGTCGCTTTCTTTTGTGTAGCTGTGTGTCTTTGAGGTTGCTTTTGCTGTTGTTGGTTGCGCTTGCGCTTGTGGTTGTAGTTGCGGCTATGCGTGTGCGTGTTCGTGCTTGTGTTTTGTGGTTGTGGTCGCGGTTGTGGGAGCTATGGTTGTGGGAGTTATGATTGTGGGAGCTACGGTTGTGGGAGTTACGGTTGTGGGAGTTATGGTTGTGGTTGTGGTTGTAGCTGTGTCTGTTTGTGTGTGCGTGTTTTTGTGTCCGTGTGTGCGTGGAGTCGTGGTCGTGGTTGTGGCAGTTGTGGTTTGTGGTTGTGATCGTGGCGCTTGTGATCGTGGTGCTTGTGATCGTTGTTGTTGCTGTTGCTGTTGCTGTTGCTGTTGCTGTTGATGTTGCTGCTGTTGTTGAGGTTGTTGTTGGTTGTGGTGGTGGTGGGTGCGGTTGTAGTTGTGGTGTTGTTCTTCTTGTCGTCGTCGTTGTTGGTTGCTATGATGTCATTGCGGCTGTTGTTGCTGCTACTGTTGCTGCTGTTGCTGTTGCTGTTGTTGCTGTTGCTGTTGCTGTTGCTGCTGTTGTTGTTGCTGCTGTTGCCGCTACTGTTGCTGCTGTTGTTGATGGGGTTGCTGTTGAACTGTTGAGAATGCTGTTGCCGTTGTTGTTAGTGTCTTTGTGCACGCTCTGTGTGTGTGTGTGGTTGCTTGCATGCAGGTTCGTGATTCTGCTTCTGTCCACGTTGTTGATTGCTTGTGAGTGAGTGTGTCTGTGGCTGTGTTTGTGTCTGTCTTTGTGGTCGTGTTTGTGTTGGGGCTTGTGGTTGTGTGTGTACTTGTGTTTGCGTGTGTGTTTGTGTTTTGGTGGTTGTGAAAGTGGTTGTGTTTGTGGTTCGGTGTGTATGTGTGCGTGCGTGCGTGTTCATGCTTGCGTGTGTGTGTGTGTGTGTGTGTGTGTGTGTGTGTGTGTGTGTGTGTGTGTGTGTGTGTGTGTGTGTGTGTGTGTGTGTGTGTGTGTGTGTGTGTGTGTGTGTGTGTGTGTGTGTGTGTGTGTGTGTGTGTGTGTGTGTGTGTGTGTGTGTGTGTGTGTGTGTGTGTGTGTGTGTGTGTGTGTGTGTGTGTGTGTGTGTGTGTGTGTGTGTGTGTGTGTGTGTGTGTGTGTGTGTGTGTGTGTGTGTGTGTGTGTGGTGTGTGTGGGTGTGTGTGTGTGGGTGTGTGTGTGTGTGTGGGGTGTGTGTGTGTGTGTGTGTGTGTGGGTGGGTGGGTGGGTGGGTGGGTGGGTGTGGGTGGGTGCGTGCGTGCGTGCGTGCGTGCGTGCGTGCGTGCGTGCGTGCGTGCGTTGCGTGCGTGCGTGCGTGCGTGCTGCGTGCGCGTGGTTGGCGTGGGCGTGGCGTGGCGTGGCGTGGCGTGGCGTGGCGTGGCGTGGCGTGGCGTGGCGTGGCGTGGCGTGGCGTGGCGTGGCGTGGCGTGGCGTGGCGTGGCGTGTGCGTGGCGTGGCGTGGCGTGGCGTGGCGTGGCGTGGCGCGTGCGTGGCGGTGGCGCGTGGCGTGGCGTGGCGTGGCGTGGCGTGGCGTGGCGTGGCGTGCGTGGCGTGCGCAGCGTGTGCGTGCGCGTGTGCGTGTGCGTGTGCGTGTGCGTGTGCGTGTGCGTGCGCGTGCGCGTGCGCGTGCGCGTGCGCGTGCGCGTGCGCGTGCGTGTGCGTGTGCGTGTGCGTGTGCGTGTGCGTGTGCGTGTGCGTGTGCGTGTGCGTGTTTTGCGTGTTTGTGTGTGCGTGTGCGTGTGTGCTTGTTTGTATGGGATAGCCAGGACGAGTCACGAACCAGCGTGCAAGGAACCTGAGAAACGGCCCAGAAACAGCCAACAAGTGCAGGAAACTAGGGGAACTAGACTGATCCCAAGCAGCTCGCAAGCAGGTGATAAAGCTGCAACTGCATCTTTGCTTGTTAAAGCCTAAAAAAGGCCGCGAAAGGCATTTTGAGCTTCTTACGCAGGGCGTGATTAAGGTTGTGATGAGCTCGAAGGTTTTGCAGGGTGCAAGGGCAAAGGTTGCACGGGGCAAGCGGGGCATGCGCTTGGAGAGCGAGCGCTCATCTGTCCTCGTCTGTGCTATAAGGCTTTGATGCAAACCTTGTGAGGCCTTCGCGGTAGACGTAGGCTCGCAGTGGTCGGAAGGAGGTCACTAGGACGTAGATCCGCAGGTCGAACTTCAAGCCTGGCACCCAAAGCGCAGCACGAACAACGGAACATGTGAAGATTGAGAAGAATTGGACAAGAATGTGACACCATGGTATGTACATATTTATCAGATAGCTCGTCCATCACTTCCTACCCCAACTCGCTTACATCGTTGATCCCGGCCTTGAATCAGCATGGGCTTTTCAACGTACCGGGAGACCACCACCTCAAGTCGCCCAATGCAAAAATGAGCGTGTCGAGTGAATCTGGCTGCCGAGAAAGCCTACATCGGCAACCAAGGCATAACAGCATACCGGCACAATGAAAATCAAGGGCCCAAGAAAGGAGAGAACGCCAAGAACTGTTGAGGATTCCCCCGAATGCGCCTTTCATGATATTGACTCTCCATTCTAGCATTCTTCTCTCTCTGCTCTTCCCGCTTCTCTTGCTACTTGCTCAGCCTCCATGCTTTCACGTCTTGCCCATTCCGCCCTTTTTGGGAAGACAAATGCCTCCAAAACCAATCTGCATCTTTGGGTGGTTTATCCATTCCCACACGGTCTATGGGACAAGCCTGCTTTGCCCCGAAGCCCAAACCGATGGCTTTTGGGGGTTCCAAATGTCCCCGTCCGGCCAAGCTGCGTCCTTCAGCGGCAGCTCAATGAGGTTCCGCAAGATGAAGATGCCTCGACCCTGCGAGGAGGCTGAAGGCTTCACGATCCACAGCTGCTCGCCCCTGGCAGAAAAGCTTGAAAGGTTTGAGGAAACTTTCGGGGAAGGCACAACTCCTTTTTTGGAGCGGAGACAAGCCGGCTCTGGCCTGAATAAACCCAGAGAGCCTTTCCCCGACCTTGGCCAAACTGGCTTCTTTAGAACTTCTCTGGCCCCGCAGGGCTGCCGCAAAGAAAAGGAATGGCATTGAAGTGCCGCTTGATGCAACTCACTCACATTGTCTTGGTTTGCTGGGTCCCAGCCTGGGTAGCTCAAAGTTAAATAACGAAGCATGGCTCAAAACATGTCCTGATCACTTGATCACTGGGTTTGCCCCCATTGGTCTTTTGTAGCTTCGGGCAAAGGGTCGGCGCATCAGGCGAGGATACAACCCGGGAACATCTCACCAAGACCTGGAACAGGCGGGGGAACGCGAAACTGAAACAAGGATTCTCAAAACGGTTGGGTCCCCTCAAATGGTTGGTTCCCTGTCGTTTGTTTCCCGTTCAATACCAATCGCGGTGTCCACCATTCATCCCAAACCGCCAAACGCAAACGAGGGACCCCCAAAGCGCCCGCAGCCAGAAATGCCAGACTGGTCAGAATGGTCAGCACATGTTGGGCCGTTCGCAACGAGTTCCGCGCCTAGTCTTCAAATACCGCTGCTTGAAGCTTCGCAGCTGCTGCGGCAGCACAAAGGTCTCTGGCACAAAGTCAAACTCGCCACTGCCCATTTGCTGCGCCATTCGTTGGAAGTTGTCCCACATTCGGTCTTTCCTGCAAGCCAACAACGAAATCTCGCCCTCCCAAGTCATGCAAACAAATGCCCTCTGCCATTTCCCAGCACGGGCGGCTGTTTGTTTCAAACTCCCTGTGACTGCCTTTCCCCTGTTCCAGTAGTTCTCGTTCCTTAGCAAACTTGGGGAAACTTGGGCCTGCTGGAACGTGTGCCGATGGCAACGGACAGAGGCTATGAAGACACGTCTCAGCCTCACCAGGTTCAACCCCTTCAAAAAGTTGCACCTCTTTTAGGTGTGCCTATTCAACAGGCCAAGCACCCTTTAAAAAGAAGAGCTCGTTTCCCCAACCCTCCCAACGTGATTCCTGTGGAATGACACGCCTTGTGAGCTCTGTGGAGGCTGGGAAGTGATTCACCTTCTGAAACTCGTGCATCATCCGGTGCACGTTCTCCCTGCGAATAGCATTGGCGAGAAACGCCTTTCCTTTGAGGCTGGTGAATTGAGACGCACTCACTAAGTTCAATGCATGAGCACAAAGAAATCTCGCCAGCTCCCACCTCATTCGAGGTCCAGTCCAGCTGATGAGCCAGTCCTCACCCCGTGTCGGTCGAAAACCTCAGAGCTGCCACATGCTGCAAATGGGATGACGTCAAGGGGACGTGTGCCTGAAGGGCATTACGGCGTCTACCAAACTTCTTCTTCGCATATACTATCATAATTCAATCACCTTTGCCGCGTATTCGAAGACACGTTCGCTCTGCCCGACTGACGTGGAACAAAGTTCTTCATGGCCAACTAAGCCTTTTTGTCATCTGTCGCCAAGGTGGTTGATTCCCATGACCACTGAATCAACTTCTCAGGGCATTCCAACTTGGAATCACAGAAAGTGACCCATCTGACAACCCAAATTGTCCACCATGCACAAAGAAAGGGTGTGGGTTTGTCTCCACATTGTTGGACCCCCGTTTGGTTGTTCTCCTTGTGGTGTCCTTTTCTGGAAAGAGCTACCCGTAAAAACTCCACGTTCTCGTGGAACGGAAAGTGGTGCTACTAAACCAAGCTGACATTGTACATTGAAACAACTTGCTGATGGGACAAATCTTCTTGGATCTGGACAGCTCCAAAACCATGGCCCAATTCCAGAACCAAAGGACAAGGACCCGAACTTGTCTGTCTCTAAATGCGGGGACCCCAACATGACAAAACCCCAAAAGGGTGCCCTCAACAATGCGCACAGGCACCCACACACACACACACCCAAGTTCCATCGTTCCAAGCCGCCGTTGTGGAGAAAGGTCTCCCGCACCAGCGGCGCGTGGATCCGGTCGATGCGGAAGCCGGGCGGAAAGCCACGGCCGTCCGCCCTGCGTTATGCGTTATTTGTTCTGTTGCTTTTTCTTTGGGGCTGTGAGCTTCGTTCTTTTGTCGGTGTTGTTGCTGCTTGTCTGTTTGTTTGCTTGTTTGCTTTTTTTTCTTGTTTGCTTGTTTGCTTGTTTGCTGGTTTGCTTGTTTGCTGGTTTGCTGGTTTGCTGGTTTGCTTGTTTGCTTCTTTTCTTGTTTGCTTGTTTGTTTGTTTGCTGGTTTGCTTGTTTGCTTGTTTGTTTGCTTGATTGTATCTTTGTTTGCTTGATTGTTTGTTGCTTGTTTGCTTGTTTGCTTGTTTGCTTGTTTGTTTGCTTGATTGTTTCTTTGTTTGCTTGATTGTTTGTTTGATTGTTTGCTTGTTTGCTTGTTTGCTTGCTTGTTTGCTTGATTGTTTCTTTGTTTGCTTGGTTGGTTCCTTGCTTGCTTGTTTGTTTGTTTGTTTGCTTGTTTGTTGCTGTTTGATTTATGGTTTGTTGGTTTGTTTGTTTGTCTGTCTGTCTGTTTGTCCGTCCGTCCGTCTGTCTGTCTGTCTGTCTGTTGGTTCGCTTTTATTGTTCTGATTGGTTTGTTGTTCTGCTTTTGTTGTTGTTTGTTGTTGAATTTGGTTGGTTTGATGTTTTTGCTTTGGGGGAGGTTTGTGCTTTTGATTTGTTTCGAGGGGGAACTGCGGGGATTGATACAATCAGTGACATCAGCTCTCTGTTTTGCTGGACCTGGATCTGAAAGTGCAAATGATCCTTCGAATGTTGAGGATGCCCGACGCCAGACATTATAAAAACTTTCACACGCCTTCTGTCCACAAAACGAAGAAGTGACAGCCAACTTCCTGAACCAAATGCATTCCAAAAAGTCTTACAAGTGTTGCTGCCAATCAGTGCCCATGCCAACTCAAAAGCCGCAACAGGGCCGCAAGATGACCAGATCTTGTGCAATCTAGGCGCATTAGCTTAGCCAGTGACGCGAACTTGGCTCCAGGTTGTACCTTGGCAAGCTGATGAGCGCAAGCTGCTTGCACATCCGCCTCAAAGTGATTCATCCCAAATGAAAGCGATGCAAAATTCAGTGAATGATGTGACTTGCGCTTGCTATTGTTCTGCTGTGGTTTACTTTGTCAGCCCTACAGTTCCTCCAAACGCTTGCCATTTGCTGAACAAGAAGCTGGCGCTAAGTCCATGAACGGCACGTCCGTCCACCTCTCAACACCGCCAACAGGTGTAGTACTGAGTGGAATCTGAGAAATCCGCGCCGAATTCGAATTCTTCGCGATCCCGCCTCTCGTTCAAGGTGGCTTTCACGCGCTGCAGCAGTTCTGGCCTCTCTGCCAGCCTCCCTGGCCCTGTTGGGCCATCCTCCTCAGCCTTGCCAGGTCACACTTCAAACTCGGTGGATTCCTCCTTTCGACCAGAGGCCATGGGTCAAAATCCCGTACCTGCAGTGAACATCCCAATCCCCACTAAAATAGACTAAAACACCTACCCCAAAATGGTACCATTGGTTTTGACCCAAAGCCACGTCTGTTTTTCCAACAGCAGCCGTTTCACCCAAGCTGTGGCGGTCTGGAAAGAAGCGTCCCTGCAACGAATGGCGAAGCGACGAAGACAGCCCGAGCTCGATGCCAAAGGCCTCTGCGTCTGAGTCGTAGCCTGGGATCTGCTCCCATAGCATCTCCGTCGGGATCGCGCGACAACTCCCCCGCTTGGACAAGCTGCATGTGGGTTTGTGGGGGTGCGGGTGGATGAGTCGCGTGTGCATGTGTACAAATAGTGGTTCATAGCAGTACATGCGGATGCAAATGCCTCTTCTTAGCCCCATGTGGTTCAGAATGCAACATGCCAAAACCAGCAAAACAAATCTTGCCATGGGCTCTAACTGTCTTGTAAGTGTAGATCCACTTGGCACAAACCGCCAAGGGTCTACTTCTCGAGCCACACGACCAGCCAACGCGGACTTTCGCCCCCAAGTTAATGCAACGTTCGCCCATCTGCCCGAAAGCTATGCCAGCCACTTTCAGACTCCTCGCCGAGCTGCCTTTGGCCATGGCCAAATGACACCAGAAAATTGCAACTCGGGTAGCTTTGCCCCGGTCGCAATCTCTGTTTTGAAAGGAGCCCAGCGCAAACCAACCAAAGCTTCTGTTTTTGCGCTGGCTGGGGTTTTACTTTCACATGCAGGCCACTGACACTCTGTCATGCCTCAGCATTGACCTGACTCTTGCAGGGTAGAAAGGCTGTGGGCAATGCCCTCAGCTGGATGCCAACATTCGAACCTGACAAAAGATAAAACAAAATTATGCGTCTGTGCTTGACAAGATCTCCCTACATCAGCAGCGCCGGTCTTTTCACCGCACGCCTTCCGTCGCACATCCGCAGCCGGCTGGGAGCCGACTCAGGTATCTCACATTCACGATCTCTGCTGGCTGGAAGCATGACGCTGCTTCGACCACGTCGTGATTTCTCAAGATCGCCAGTGCTCGCCTTGCGAAGCAGCCCTCCAAATGCCATCGTCCTGCATGCATGTGCCAACATAGCAATTGGCAGTGCAAAGGTCATGCCCTGTGAGGCTGCGTCTGTGTGGATCCGTGCGCGTGCGCGTGCGCGTGGGCATTCGCGTGGGCGTGGGCGTGCTCATGGGCGTGGGCGTGTGCGTGCGCGTGGGCGTGGGCGTGGGCATGGGCGTGTGCGTGTGAGTGTGAGTGTGCGTGTGCGGGTGCAGGTGCAGATGCGGGTGCGGGTGCGGGTGTGGGTGTGGGAGTGGGTGTGAGTGTGCGGGTGTGGGTGCGTGTGCGTGTGGGTGTGGGTGTGCGTTGGTGTGGTTGTGGGTGTGGGTGTGGGTGGGTGAGTGCGCGCATGCGTGGGTTTCTTGGTGCATACCCCAGTTCGCCCTTCACCCACCCCAGCACACCAGTTGAACGCACGCCACATTGTGCAGGTGCTCCTTGCAGAATGCCCGAGCAAATTCACTGCTGAGCTGACTCCACGCACCTCGGGACACGTGCCACGTGGAAAAGGGCCAGGCACAAGCCATGGAGAAACACAAAGAAGTCGGTGCAAAGGGAAGCCAAACGGAAAACCGCCGTTTGGGAATGACACCTAAAGGACGCGTGTGTCCCTCCCGCCTGGTGACAACCTCGTCCCAGGCGTTTCCGCGGCTTCTCTGGTGCTCTTCAGAGGTCATGGGCACATAGAGCACACCTCAAGCTCCAAATGCTTCTGTCCAAGGTGTTCATACCCCGGCCCGAAACCACTAATGCCTGTCATAGTGGCATATATCTCATGAAACCCCAAGAAGCAGTGGTTCTGGGGAAGTGACAACAATCGGTCCTTCCGGTGCCGAAATGGCACGAAAGAAACGTCTAAGTGCCAGGCGCAAGTGCTGGTGAACTTCCACCTTACCGTCCACCACGTCAATGCTGCAAAGCCTGCAGTCTCTTCTTCTGTATCTGTTTCTTCAAAATCCAGGTCCGGTCCAAAATATAAGACGATATCGTGCGAAGGCTGGATACGATATGTTCATAAGTAAACTTGTCACTAGTCGAGTGCGAGGCAATCTTGAGATGGCTGTCTTCGGGATTCCTTCTGCAAACCGAAGGCTTTCAATGGGCTCAAAATCCGCGGTTGGTCCATTCTTGACAAACACCTGAATGTTGCCTCAGGTGGATCCCCATCAAAATCGGTCCACATGTACCTTTTGTGCTGCAGACTGGCTAGTCTTGTTGGGTTCTGGGCGTTTGGTTTCGGGCGCTTGATAGTTTCTCAGGCGCCATGGTGGAAATGTCCAACGCTCAAAACACGTACGTCACGAAGGTCACGTCACATACCCAGAGGACTCCGCAGGTACCAAATCTAAGTCCGAGCCGCCATTGGGGGGCGTCCGTGGGGCCCAGCGGCGCCACTGCCCGGCCGTTGGGCCGCAGCAAGCGCAGAAGCCAGTCCTGACCCCACGAAGGGAAAAGGGGATGGCCAAGCGAATGGAGCTTCATAAATCGTGGGTTAAGAGAGAAAATCCAAGTTTTTGGAGGCAATCTGAAGCAAATGTCTCACTGACGCTACTGATGAGCTTTCTGGTACGGAATTCCCCCGTTTTCCCTTCGAGTTCCCATGTTTGACAACCCAAAACGGGCAACAACTCACAACTGGCGGTGAGCTTGAATGATTGGAACATTCTCACAAATGGTGGTAAAGGGAAGCCACAGCCCATTTTAGGGTTGCCCGATTGCGAGGCAACCCAACTGGACCTTCCAAACGACGCATGGCTGCAGCAAATCCACAGCACCCAAGGGCCCTTCTCCCAAGCTCCAAACTTACAAGCAGAATGAGATTCCGGTCCCCACGACATCGAGAACCCGGCTGTCCAACAAATGAGTGGGGTTTGGGGGGGGTAGGGCCAACTAGTGTAGAAGGTGGCCAAAACAAGTGCTCTTTCAAAGAAATCGAGCCGGGGGAGCACACAATCACAGCGCTGGGTGGTGGTAGACGATTGCGGGGGAAGTGGGGGCATGCTTTTCCCCAAGAGGGCATGAGAGATTTCGGGAGTCTTTCTGGACTCTCGTGGTTGAAATTTCGTGAGTTTGTCCCAAACAAACTACTCCGGACACTTCGACCAACGTCCTCCACCTGGGGCAACGCGGCGCCGCAGTGCACCAGGTGGAAGCCGCTCCCCTCCTGGCCAGCGATGGCCTCCGAAACGGTGGGCTCCTCGTGGAAAATGCTTTTGATCCAAAGGGAAGCAGAACCCCCTGCCGCTTGGTTTGTTATTTGAAGCGAAGCGACTAATCGTTTGAGTCTAAGTCCCCCGCCAAGGCGCGGGCATCTTGGCAGCGCAGTTCCAGGAGTTCCGGGACCTCAAGTCCAAGGACCCCAAAACCACCGGCGTGTACATGTGCTCCAAGAGGCCGCTGGGCATGGAAGACTCAGCTCGCCTTTGACCAAATCCGAGCCAAGCGCTAAGTCCTGATGATGCCGCGCAACATTTCTTTGCGCCGCCTCTGCCAACTCCTGCCCGGGCCGCGGGTGCCAAGCTACCCGCACGAGCCCTCCGGTTTGCCGGCTGAAATTTGGTCCCCATATATTCCTCCCGATGTGATCATAGACTAGCAGATTGGGGACACCTCAAATGGCAGGTCCTGAGTTCTGAGTTGCAGGACGTGCTTGTGGCTTTTGGTGATGGTAGCATGTTCATGGTCAGGCACTCGATGTGCCTTTTGATCGTACTCTATCACAAGCAAAGGTACTTTGAGCACGGAAAGTTCTGGAAGAAGACATGCCATGAAAGCCACATCTTTTGGAAAAACCGTCGAATGATGAGAAGTGGGATGGGTCAAACCTTTCCAGAAGCCTGCGGCCCAATTCAAAGTGTGTGAGTGGGTTCATCTCTGCCTGAACAAATCTAAGCAGGTGTCGTGCTGGAACAAACCCGCAATCATGACTTTCGGTTAAGTGGTTTCAGTTGAAAACTGGATCAAAGTGTGTGGCTCTAGTGCGTTGGGGCCCCTGGCTAGCCAATGGCATCGATCCTGGATGTGCTCCAGGGCCAGCACGCGGCCGCGGCCTCGCAGAAGCCGAGCTAACCTCGGCATTCGCGGCATTCCGTGTCTCAGAGTTCCGTGTTGCGACCCCCATCGTGAGGCAATGCGCTCTCGCACAGCAGGATTTGGTTCAGCTACTTCCGCCTGGCAGACATCCCGGTACACTTGGTGTTGGAGAGTTGTATGGGAAGTTGGCATGGGTCCCTGACCATTTACAGGTGAAGAGTTGCCCTTAGCAAGTACAAAACTGTTCAGGGTATGTATTCAAGGTTGATTGAAACTTGGTTGGACCAAAGGGAGCCCTCCTGAGACCCCTCGCACGGGAATCTCATGAGCACAATAATACCAGAGTCACGTTGGGCCGCGCTGGTGGCTGGTTTCCCATCAATCCACAACCAATGGTCAATCGTCCCATTAGATAAACGAGGAATCAAATGTTAAGGGCGTTATGGCCTCCGGTCAGTACCTCACTCAAATCCAGGGTTTGGCCAATTCAAACCTGCTCGAACGTTTAAAGAACCCGCCGGCTTCTTGCAACCGGGCATGAGCGCTTTCCGCACGCTGAGGCTATGGCAACACTGCCATGCATCCGCTGCCGCTGCCGAGGTCCAAGACCTGAAGCCTGGCTTTCGGAGAGGTGTCCGGAAGTTTACCCACAACGCAAGCCACGCAAGCCATTGGTGTGTCCATTGCCCTCACGAGGACAGTGGGAGTCAAAATGGTTCCTATGGAAAGCTAAGCGCCCTGCGGACCCTCCAAGGTCGCGGCTTTCTCCTGTTCACTCGATCGATTCCGTTTGATGCTTGAAACCGCCCACCCCGGCACCAGGGGGCTGCTTTTACTTTGATCCGATAAAAGCACACCTTGCAATCACAGGGAGGCGTTGTGGCAGGGCACTGCCACACTCCGCTCTGTTCCTTGCGAGTTGTTTTTTGCGTTTCTCTAGCATTTCGGGTGACCTTGGACAGATTACCCCAATATTCCTGACAAGATGCTTGTTCCTCGGAATCCAGATGTCACGTAATCTCCTGGATTAGCTCCAAAGCGGCGCAGTGCACGTGCGGCGCAGAGACCTGCGGCAAGCGGACGGGCGTCCGCTCATCATGCGGACCGCAAGCCCAGGTTCATGTCTAAGGACCCAATTTTGGTGAAAAGCTAACCAGATGTTCA